TTGCTGTCTTAACTTCCCCTACCGGGTAAGAGCATCTTTCCCAAAACTCCAGCAGAAGTCCCAGAAATTCCCATCACTGGCCTAGTTTGGTCAAGTGTCCTTTTCTGGAGCCAGGAGATCAGATACCCGGACTGAGGTTGGGTAGATGTGATCCTCGAAATAAAAGCTGGGTTTATAAAAAAAACCCCAAAACTTGTAATAGATGAAATATATAAAACAGTCAGTGCTTGGCACATAGTAGGTGTTAATAAGTATATATTAATTTAAAGATAATACCTATTTTTTAAATCCTCAGATATGTAGAGCTACCAGCTTTCAGCCAAGTTTTCCTGGACTGCACATAAATGACTAGAATCTGTTCAACCTAAAGTAACCTCTAGTCTGGACTGACCACACATGTGAGATTTAATGTGACACAGTTTTTAGGATAGAGGCTGTTCTGAGTTTTGAAGAAAGCCTGCGATTTCCCCCTAAAGAGCCTGGATGAAGTCTAAGTAAACGACAACTTTGTGGATAGTGTTTTACTTTTTTACTCTTCTTTGTGGATTATCATAATGCTAGCAGGAATTGCTCTTTTGTTCCATTGTACTGGCCGTGTGGCTAGGAGCCAAAAGCAAGAATTTACCCCCAAGTAGTGCGGTCACACGGAATACAACAGCTCTCACTCCAGCTTTCCATCTAATGCTGTGAATAATAGTATGATGATTACAGTCTTTATGAGGGTTTATCCTTCATCAGTAAGTAAAGATAATCTAACAGGCGCCTGAGACATCGTACCTCTAGTTCTGCTGGGAAGACGGTACTTCCTGTGACAGCCGCGTGGCCTCACGGGGTCTAAGTCTAGGCCAGGGGTTTTGAGAGTGCCCTACGTGAAGTATCTGCTTCTGTGATGACAGCTTTTGGGTAAGTGTGGATAAACTGATTAATCAGCGTCTACCAAATCTACGGAATGGAGATAAGGCTAAATTCAGCTGTTCATTCCCTTTAAGGATTTCAACTTAAAGTGTAAACATTTCTGTTTAGTTTCGGATTCCTATGTATGTAAACAGGTAAAGCTCCAGTGTGTTCTAACGTCTAAGAGCTTTATTTGCCCTTATTTTTTCTCACGCGATTTCACAACATTAAAAAACGAGGGTTGTGTTTTCAGTGGTGCTTTAAGCACAACAGTGAGCTGTTATCCAACCATAACAACTTGCATCATTTTTCCGTTCATTTTATTAGCCACCATTGACCTTCGGATTTACGAACAAATGACTTTTCTCAGTTTGTATTCACTGTGCACAAATTCTCCTCAAAAACAAAGTTCTGAGGCTGGGACGATGCCTACCATTGTACTGAACGTTAGCAGCCTTGCTGTTTGAAATGTGTCCCTGTAGTTTTATTGTTTGCAATATTTGGAATAAAAAAAGTCCACTAGAGCCTTTAGATTTCTGCCATAGAGTAAGGGATCACATTTTTTTTAAAAGGAAATGGTTATTTCAATGGTGTCACTCGATTTCCTTTCCATAAAAATATTTATGCTAAGATTTATCAACTGGAAAGCACTAGAAACAGGCACTTTTTATTATGTCCGCTTGGCATTTTTAGTCTAATAACTTGGATCAATACTGTAGCTTGGTCAAAACAGTCTGGCGCCGTAATTTCTGGAAATGAGATTCTTGCATCAGAATTTGAAGACTAAGTAAGTCTCTGAAACACACACACACACACACACACACACACACAATGTCAATCCATGTTGTGCCTGGGATGCTAAAGGAAGCTGAGCAAGAGACTTGAAAGGGGAAGGTTGGGACACCCAGGGGGTGGCCTCATAGAGGAACTTTCAGACACCTGTGTGGTGGAGAGGAGCAGAGACAGAGCATAGAAAGTTGACAAAAGGAGGAAGCCCAGCGGACTTTTTATTTGGCAGTTGCTTCCAGGACCACCCCTGAACACGGATGTCCCGATTCCCACTCCATTATCCTACTAAAATACTCAATTGAAGGTCACCAGTGAGCGTCTCCTGGCCAGACCTAATATCTTTTTCATGTCCTCATTCTTTTTGTTCTTACTCAGCCATTTGACCCTGTTTTGAACACTCAACATGGTTTTTAAGGCACGAACTCTCGACTACCCTGTACTTTGGTCCCTCCATCTGCTTCCTCTCTGCTGCTCTTATGGGAGCTGCTCACCAGCCCTTAGCTTTGAATAATCCAGAAGTGTTAGCCCAGTCACCAGTCCCCTTTCCTTTGTTCCCATGTATCAAACGCAGGATTCCATCTCGTGTGATCATCAGAGCGCGTGTAACTGCCCTAATTTACGTTCTAATTTGGGGACCTGATTAAATACAGATGTCTTCACTGTGTGTGATCCTGTGTGACTCTGCCTCACTCTCCCTCCGAAGGAACAGTCCTTGCTCATTCAGACTGTGAGCGCTTAAAAATAGAAAACATGGGCAGTAACTTGAGCTTGCATTTCAGAGTCAGAACTGTGTTCAAATAGCGCTGTTGCTCAGGTGAGCTTTTACACGTCACTAAAGCTCTCTGAACTCAACTTCCTTCATCTTTAAAACGGGAATAACAGTAATACTCACCCCTCTGGCACAGGCCAAGATAGTAAATGAGAAGATTTATGCAAAACATGTAGCATGAAGTAGCTGTAGCGACCTCTCAGTAAATGATTTCTTCCTGTGTTTTTAACTCCTCTCTGATCACTCATTCTAGGAACACAATTGTTGAGCCCCACTTTGGTTTGATGGATTGATTGATTGGTTGATTGACTGACTGACTGAAATTAATAAGATTGGATGTGTTGAGATGTGCTGGATAATCAGCCAGATCACTCCACCACATCCTCTCCGCATGGTAAATTATAGAGCTCTTTATCTCAGTCCGTCACTTAAATTACTAATCAGTATTTTATTTTTTAAGAAAATGTGAATGCCAGGGAAATAGGTGCACAGTATTTTTCCTGTCTTTTAAATATGAATGAAGTTATTTATGGTGTTACTTGGACGGGCCTACAATGTGAAAAATACAGCATCTAGTTTATTTGATGACTTCACTTATTATGAGTTATCTTATTTAGCCTTAATTTTTATTTAATGATTAACGGAATTAGAGATGGTAAAAGTTGCCAAAGGAGAGTTTATACTAACCGAGGACACAGGTGGGAATCACAGGACTCACTAAAACAAAGCATGACAGCTTGACACAAAATCCTACCTATTGGACAGCAGTATTTTTCTACTGGTAAAACCACAGAGAGTTAACCTTAGTGCCCCAAAGATAGCAGCCTTATTGAAATAAAAGTGATCCTCAGCCCCCAAGAATCCAGTCCCCTGATGAGCCGATGTGGAGGTAATTATTTATAATAGCACTTGCTGGTAAAGAGGAAGGAGTGAAACCTTAGACGGACACTGAAGCGTGACTTGGGGGGTTATTTCTGATTCTAAAGCTCCGGAGTGGAAGGCGGGGCAAGTGACTCAGAGCATTGTGATGGTGCAGCTGTCCAGGGGCTGCCCCCCAGGGCGTGTTCCCGCATCACGCACGGGGCAGGGGAACCGGAGGGAGATCTTCCTGTAGTCACTGAGCTGACCCCCCCTCACCACTCTCTGGTTCGTTTTCACTGATTCCCAAAGCACGTGTGAAATGGCACGCTGGCCCAGTCGACGGCCGCTTTAGTCTAGTTCTCTGCCTGTGAAAACAAGACCAAGGCCATTTTCATCAAGGGTAGTAACTGTTCTCTAGTATACCAACCTAATCTATTTTTCTGGGAACCACCCAGTCATTAGGGAAAGAAGAAACCTGACCCATTTATTTTGCAGCAGGGCCTTCTTTGTCTTAGGAATGTTTCATGTCAATCAGTGCAACCAGGGGAAGGTCACGGCTTGAAAAGCCCGCAGTGCTTACCAGTACGACCAGTCGTCGCTCTGCTGCTTTATTCCACGAAGAGCCACTTCCGTTTGCTTGTGTCTCTGTTATTATTCGATTTTGGAACTTCTCAGGAGAATTGAGAAGCAGTACAACAATTAACAGGCCCCAAACCTGGTCATAGAAGTGTATAAATAAGCTCCCTGTGTAATGTTCCATTTTGTATTTGGGCATATTGTTCCTCATAATTCACTCTATTTCTCTTCTAAAAATATAGCTTGTTGAAGGATGCCCTTAGAGACAGTTGGATTTCTTTCCTAAACTAAAGCAGATTGGGATTAACAGAGATTATAGGCCTAAGAAGTGTATTGTTTTGCTTCGTTTGGGAGAGTCAAGATGAGACACTGCAGTTTACTTGATAATTCTCTGGATATGCAGCCTCCTCCAGGAAGCCTTTCTGTGTTCTTCTCTACCAGGATTAGGCCCTTCCTCTCTTGCCCTCCCTTGTATTTATCTGTTTGTCTGTTTCCTCCTCTGGACTCTGAGATCCTTTTGGCAGGGACGTCCTTTGTCTCTTCAGCAGCTAGCAAAGTGATTAACACAAAATAAGTGCTTAAAAAGTGTTCCATGGATGAACGAACAGCCTAAGTACTTTATGGCTTTCCAGGCTATCCACTTATAAACTTTTTCCCTGACCACAGTGAGAGCAATATAATTGGCTAATTTGATGAGTGGTCACTAAATCATCAAGTCACAGACTACTTCATGATTTAGCTAGTGGTGGATAAACAGGGCCGTTGTAAAGGCGTGAGCCGATGGACTCAGTTCCACCTTGATGTCTGAACGTCACATTAACACCGTGAACCCCTGACACAAAGGCTCCAAAGCCTTCCTGACAACTAGATACCAAAAACGGAAATCATCCATATATGAATTTCAATACCTGGATTTTGAAACTCAGAGCAGGGAGGCGGGGTGTCATCCTATATGGGCACGGAAAGCCAGGAGTCTTGGGAGCCAGGCACGTGTCGCCTTTGCTTCCCTGGAATATTGTCAGACCAATAGGCGTGTGCGGAGCACTTTCACGGACAGTATAAATATTTTGAGCCGGAGGCATCATTCCCAGCTGATACTCTCTTTCCACAGGACCAGCTGTTCAGGGGCACCCCGGCCTGGAGCCAGGCACACTGGAGACTTGGATCTAGCAACAGGCAGCGGCGGAGTCCTGTGCAGCCATGTCGGTGGTGGAAGAGAGCCGGCCGTTTGCCCAGCAGCTCTCCAACGTCTACTTCACCATCCTGTCCCTTTTCTGTTTCAAGCTTTTTGTGAAGATCAGCCTCGCCATCCTCAGTCACTTCTACATAGTGAAAGGCAACCGCAAGGAGGCCGCCCGGATAGCCGCGGAGTTCTACGGAGTAACCCAAGGACAAGGTACGTTTGCGGCCATGCGCTCTCGTTCCCCTTGACTTCAGAACATTGCGTGTTTCCTTTAGGGACTGCTTCAAAGCGAGGATTTTGTAAACTTCTCATTATAAAAAACATGTAACTCTCTTCACAGCCTCATAGAAAAGAAAATCACTTTGCTTCCTGAATGTCAGGGTCACTAAAATCAAGGTATCATTGCAAAATAGTCTCGTAACATTACTATTAAATATACATTTTTCTGTTGTTAAATGTTTTTAAACTTTTAACGTTTCATTTTCCAAGCCACAGTCTTACAGTTTTCCGTTACTGATCGCGCGTCCCTTGTTCTTTAATATACCTGAGTGTTTATGATTTTTAAATCAAATCTTTAGTTATATGTAAAATAGCTGTTGTAAGAGAAGACTTAAAGATTTTATTTGTTTTTCATAATTTTTATTTTACCTGGATTAACCACTTGATTTTAAGATAAAGCACGAGGTGGCAAATATTAAGATTTCTGGCATGTGCTTTCCTGATAGAATTGTTGTTGCTTTGCTTAATTTGTTTAAAAAAAAAGATTATTAAAGGGCAGGAAGGTGAATTAACAAACATTACATGCGTTTGGCCAAGTACAGCCACCCATGTTCCCTAGAAGAAATGGAGTATGAGACCAAATGAGAAACAATCACTTTAACCACAGACTTTAAAGGTTGTAAAACCATTTACATTCTATTGGACTGATATTCTGCATGATAAAAACAATTCTTATGATGGACTTCAAGGTGACATTTTAATTTCTTAGAGTCTTTTAATTGATTTCTGGTTTGAAAATCATCAGGCAAGCATGCACATTTTAGAGCCCCAGATACCTCTGAAGTAACTTAAATTTTCAGAATCAAAGTATACCATCACATAATTAGAAAATGTAATTAAAAAAAAAGAAGAATGCTTGGAATAGAAAGCTTGCCTTCTTACAATCTGTTTTTCTGAATTTATTTGATTTGTGGAATAATTTATTTTGAAATCTAGCCGAGTCTGTAGGCACATGGGAAGGTGAGTAAAGGCAGAAAATATTTTGTGGCATGTGAAGGAAGGCTGTTCTTACAAAGTGGGGCATTTATGTACTCATTCAGAGGGAGGAAAATCCATTTGCCAGGATGAAAGTCTCACGAGGAAGAGGGGACCTAGAGGAAACAGGCAGCATTTAATCCCTCACCCCCCAGCGCTGCTTCAGAACACGCATAACTATTTCAACGTGGTGTATACTGTGCTGGTGAATGGAGTATTCTGCTTAAAAAAAAAAAAGCAAACATAGGAAACTAGACTTTAAAACAAAACCTGTATTTTTAGATATAAGACTTAATTGGGTATCTGATCATAAGGTGACAAAGTTGACTGTCGGGCAGCCGACAGCTCATGACTTCATACTCAGATCTGCTCTAGGTGTTATGAGAATTGCCACACATAAAAACTGAAATACCGGCTAAAAATGCACATTTTTGTGTGTGTGGATCGACAAGGGTTTTAGAGGACGCAGTGGGAGCTCCTTGTGTACTTATTTACAAATCAAAAGGAACAAGTGTCCCCTCTTTGGCCTGATCTCAGTGTGCTCATGTTGGGAAGTCACCAGAACAAGTGAAATGGCTCCGTGTTCCTGTCTCCTTCCATGCGTGTGTGTTAGGATGGAGTGGAGCTGAGGGCTGTGTCCCAGAAGGGGGAGAAAGAAGTCCACACTCACGAACAGAAAATGCTTTTCCTAGGAATCCACATGGGGAACATGGAGTTTTCAAATGTTTGTCTTTTGTTGTTTTTTCGTATCTATTTAATAAAATTCTCCGAATATCTTGCATGAATCTATATACTAAACAGTGCAGTATGTTATTAAAGTTTTTATTCCATGTAAGCAGTTAGTCTCCAATTTTATTTTAATATTAGGAGGACAATCGGGAACCTTACAAACCTTCTTGATCTACCTCTAAGAATTAATACTTCTTTGCCCTGGAAATTATTACTTTCTCTGTTTTAACAAGCCTTTTCTTTTACTTACTACAATTAGACTATTTTTATTTTGTTTATGTTTTTGTAATTAACTAATCGGGCTTAATTATCTTTGTTTAATCTAGCAATTTCCTCCTTCCTAGAAAAGATTATCACCTTCATTCCACTTTGAATTAGGTTTCTCTTTCCTACTTTTAAGACTTAGCCAGATTGTTCCCCAACATTTCTGATGTGGAGTTGCCAAATTCCATGAAATACGAGATGATGTGTGTATTTTCATGTCTTTCCTAATCACAGAAGACCCCGCTGACAGCATTCTGGACGCCCTCCCCGTGAGCAGCAGTGCTCTGTCATGAAATAGAAGGACCCCTGTCTTCCCAGATACTGTTGCAAATCAGCTCATCCTATTAGACAAATGTAGGGTGATCTTCTTTAATGCATTTTCCAGTCAGGCTCGAGACCAGGGTATGATCACACAGCCAGAATTCTGAAAGGCTAAATGGTAACTAAAGTCACTTATGATTGTTTCCTTCTTGATCCCTGTGCGATTCCAATAAACCTTAGAGATCTGCCCTTTCATCTTTTTATCAACTCCACCGTCCTGTTGACAGACTTGTCGGGCTTTTCTGTGTGGCTGCGTCCTGTGTTGTTCTTGCTGTTAAGTACCCTGAGTGCACTCTCTGCCTCACAGAGATCTAGCCTGTTTTTAAAGCTAGCACTGTACTTCGAGACTGACAGTGAGACTAACAGGAGCTGAAAGGCATGTTCAACCGTGATATCAGACAGTCTGGAGAGCAAGTGAGGATGTGGGGGAGAACACTGATTTTTGAAATCACTGAAGGGCCTGGAAGAAACTATATGCAACTAATATCCCAAGGACACTTGAAGAGGCAGCTCCCTTCTTCTGCTAAAAATAATACTTTTCAAGTTCTGTCTTAGGCTCTGAGGACAGTTCAGTGGTTTTACCCACAAGGTCAGCGCTAAGCACCTGTTTTTTAAGTATCCCTGGTGTTGAAGCACTGAAGAAACAAGATATAAAAAAGGGGCAAAATGACTTATTCCCAAGTACAGGTAGTTTTACTCCAATTGAGGAGATGGTTTATCTGCACGTCAGAATTACTTCCCAGCTACGCTAGATGGCAAGTGAGTCTGAAGAGCAGGAAGGTCAGTTTCAGACGTGGGGCCTTCCTAGCTGTTTCCACAGAGGAGGCGGATCTTGAGTTGACCTCAGGAACGCGCAGAGGCAGGAATCAGGGGTGCACACACATACTAGGAGACAGTAGATGTGACTGGAGTCAAAGGTTTTTGCAGTAGAATAATGATGATAAATTGGGCACAGATATGAAAGCATTTGAAAAGCAGGCTAAGAAGTTCAAACTTAACTTTGAAGGCAGTAAGAGTCACTGAGAGTGTTTTGGTCTGAGTGAAGGTGGGAAAATGGGAAAAGACACCTAGAAAACGCTGATTTCAGATCAGTTTGTACAGTAGTGGTCTTTGGAGTTGGGCAGTGGGACAGGTTTGAAGTAGGTAGACCAGTTAGTCCCCCTGCCATAAGGCGGTAAGGAGGACCTAGATTTGTTTGGAGGTGGTAATGTGGATAGAGAAGAAAGAGTGACAACAAAAAATAAATGAAAAGAGGAAGAAAAAAAAAGAATAAGGAATCTGATGATACCTTTAAATAGCATTGGCAGAGAAAGTAGATGTTATCTTAGGGTCTCCCAGAATTAGACATTCACGCATCTAAAGGGAAAGTGTGCCAGTCAGAAGAAAGATTTATTAGCCATGGGGGCGAATCTGCAGTTCCCAGGCAATGCCACCCCAGAGAGGGTGGTCTTCAGCTCCTTGTTGAGTCTGGTGGGTCTCCCATCCCTCGTGTGAAATGTCGGGGTGAATCAGGAAGTAGTAGAACTAGAATCTGAATCTTGGTCTTACATTTGACTTATTTCGTGTTTATTCCCTTTGTTCCACCTTTTCATCACCACGTAACCTTCTGGGTATGACTTGGCCCTCCATCTACATCTGTCCACAGAAAGAGAATGTGCTGGCTCACCCCAGCAGTGTTTCAGTCCATCTGACATTTATGGTCCTTGTTGTAAATTAATATGTTTGCATCTTGACATCACTCTTTAGTGTTCTGTGCTCTTGGAGTTGTAAGTCCACCTCTGAGATGTGACTTTGCTCCAGCTTTGCTGACAGATCAAGTTTCCAAGCCTGCAGGGCCATGGACCAAATTTTAGACGGTGGAAAATTCATGGAGGTAATGTCTCTATGAGGCCACTTGAAAAACAACCTTGTGACACTCAGCCTCTTTGGGTACCCCTTTCATGGCTGAGGCTTTATATAGAATGTGTGTAGAATCATCTGGTAGAATATTTGTGCTTGTGATTTCATAAATTTGGTTTCAGGGTTGCAATTAAGCATGCTTTTTCCTCTGGACGGTCTATCGTTGACACTTGGAAATAGGATACAGGGTAAACGTGCACCGCGAGTCAGATGGCGAAAAGACTTGTCATTCCGGAGAATAGGGCAACCTGGGCAGGAAGAGCAGCTCGAGGGTTATATGCTGTACTACTCTTTCTCCATCTGTAAAGTCCGTCCCAGGTTTAAAAACAACTTCAGGAACTGACCCCCACAGCGGATGCCAGCGAGGGCAGCAGCCGTGTCTGTTATGCACATTCCCAGGGAACAGCTTGTTTCCTGGGACTTTTGGTGCTGTTGCATTTATTGTGTGCGAGCTTAGTTATGGTGGGAACATTTCTCAGAATCTCAGCCATGAAAAATTTCGAGCCAACCTGCAGGATGACTTCTTTCACGGTGCTTATTGTATAAAGGTATAAAAATACCTCGGAGATGTGAGAGTTCGGGGACACATTTTCTGTGCTTCGGTGGAAGAACACCACTTAGGAATAACTGGACTCAACAGAGCTGCTCCTCTGGGGCAAAAGACGTGACGTTATTATCAGAAGTGCCACCAAAACAAATTTGAAGAGACTTTGATTTTGCCCACGTTCCCCTATTTTTCAGAAATG